CCCCAAAACCCCAAAACCCCAAAACCCCAAAACCCCAAAACCCCAAAACCCCAAAACCCCACGAGAATCTGATAGTATTGAAACGAGATCGGAGCTTCAGATCGTCCAAAATACATTCATTTGAATTATTATAAAACACAACATAAAAATAAAGAAGGAAATCCTCCCTTTAGGCTGAGGGTCTGTATTCATGTCTAAAGGTTTCCTTGTGTGAAGAAATTTCATAAGTATGGGTCTTTGATGTTTCTCAGATTTTGGGTCATCCCTTCACTTATTTTGAATCCTTGCTCGAAGCTGTATCTGACTTGGTCATTTTCAAACGGAGAGGTAACAGTTATAAAATCTGACGAATTCGAGATATATGTGTTAGCATTAAACTCTTCCCTCCATAGTTCATCCAACCAACTACTATGATTGTCAGAAGAGGAGGAATCCTGCTTGGCTGACTTCTGGTCAAGGGACCGGGAAAAATTGTCCTTAAGATCGGAGCTTCTATTTATCCCAATATCTTCCTGATGTGCGACTAATTTCAGAATTTCTCCAACCTCAGTGTTGTAATCTATTGGTTTTTCTAATCCAATCACCTTAGTATCACTTTTGGGCTGCGAAATTCTCATTGGCTCACTCCGATCCTCAGTTTTGGAACTTTCTTGGATTTTCTTCTGCTGACGGAATTTCTTAGATTTCTTTTGATTTAGTAGTTTGAGGTAACTAAAGAAGGCTTTGAAATATTCCTTGTCCCCAGGTTTAGCATTATTGCTAAGCCTAGAGACTGTCCTGGAGTATTTCTTGAGCAACTTCTTCTTGTCAAATCCCCATTTATAGATCTGGGTGGTCCCCAGATCTAGATGATCCTTTCAGAACTGTACGGTCTTTCTGCTCCACGAAGGATCTTGTGTGAACTGATCCTCAAGGAAATGAATTTCAGCCTCTGTCTTGTTTCTGATAAACCGCGATTTGTTTATCACGTACCTATCTGACAACTTTTCGTCAGGTGAATGGGCGCCCTTCTCGACTAGGTATTCAGGCACAACTTTGGAATTGTTGCAATGAAGTTTGTGGCAATCCATAAGAATAAATTTTATTGACCAATACTCTAAATTATTCTTGTTAATATTTCAATGTCTAAGATGTCTATTGGGGTTTTGGGGTTTTGGGGTTTTGGGGTTTTGGGG